GTACAGGTACTGCTATCGGACACTTGGGGGAAATCATGCAGTACTTGGGTGTTGTAGTTTCACTGCGGGACAAAACTACAAATGGATTGTGGACTTTCCTGTTACCCTCACTTGTTTCTAATTTTACACCCCTTACGAAAATTAACCATGGTTTTACTACAAATAAAATATGGTTACTATTGTTAAACCTTTGTAACCAAAGTTTGTTACACTAACCATGATATTTGTAGTAAAACTGTGGTTATACAAATGGTAATCAATACGCCAAAAAACAATGGTTACTACACTTTTACTACAATAAAGCCATGGTTAATTTTAGTAAGGGTCGTTTCGGAGTTATGAAGAAATCTCTTAACGGTTTTGTTTGCAATATGTGCAAACCTTGTATATGATGTAATGTGATATGTTGTGGACACCGTGATTCTTAATTGGACTAAAAATGTAATAAAACAGCCTAATATTGCCTTGTGCAAACAAATGACAATAAACACCATAGATATACATTAAATGCACTTTCCTGTCTCTCTTACACTATTTTTTTAATATAAGCCCATGCAGGTTTACAGTTATATAGGCAACAGTGTTACGAACAAAAAGAGGTAATTTAGAAACGGAGGTCCAAAACGTTTATTTAGCAAGAAAACCAGAGTTCTGCAATGGAATGCATAACCTTTCATTTTTTACTATTACCTTATGGGCAGAAGAAGACAGAAGAAAAAAAGAACCGGACAGTAAACTTAGATCTCAGAACGAAAAAAACAGCATATAAAGGTCATAAAAAAGAAAACACAACAGTAGAATAAATTAAGAACTGGGGCAGAAGATGCAATACTACCACCATAATGTATGTGATTCTACCATTAAGCGCTGTTTGTTTAACCTTGGTCTATACAGTTACAAAAAAATGGATTTCATTCAAAGCGCCTGCATTTGCAGGTTTCATGGCAGCAGTTGCTGCACCAACATGGCAGACACAGTCTAACTGGATGACAAGCATTACGCACCATCCCAATTGCCACTGTGCATGGACCACAACTACAGGACCATGGAAGAGGAGAACATGCTGTTGTTATTATGAGAAAAGATCATAAAATGCAGGTGCTTTTGATGTATACAAATATATTGAACAGCCTGCAGGAAGAACCAGCACACAGCTTAAGATTGAATATTTTTCCCTAGACAGAAATGGTCCACTGACTGGGACACCGAGTCCAGCATCAAAACGTAAGACTGTATATTTAGGTGAAAACTATTCTACATCTTCAGTACAAACTCCACACTAACAGAGCTCAAACCAAACATTAAACCGCTCTACACCAGTCTAGAACTAATATGTGGCATTTGCTTTGCGGTAGTGAAATTAGTGAGGAAATGCAATTTGGAAAGAAGGTCAAAGCCTTTCCACCATGTTTCTCTCAAAGAATACAAAAAGGGGCAAAACAAGCAAACTAACTGAAATAACTGGTCCCCAATTAACCATTTCCGGGATTATTCTACGCAGGTTTGTCTAATTTTCTTTTTATCTTACATGTTAGTTATGCGGTCCCTAAAGAACAAGCCCTATACCAAAACGTAAACTGTACTGCGTGGCTCCACTTTAAATCCAACTACAAGCACTCGCTCAGACACACAGATCTACACTTACAAAAACAATCACACTATGACATGGAAGTTTGAGCCATTTTGTTATATAAAGCCCCTGATTATCCATGAATGGTTATTCACCATACAGTTCTAAGACCACTGAGCAGAGGTTGCATGAGAAACATGCAGTTAAATGAGAACTAGCAAGTTAGAAAAAGGCAAGCTGGGAAGAAAAAAAAACACAGAAACATGCCAAACATAAATAAAGCATGCATTGCTCTTGTCCATATAGTATGTCACAATCTTTAAAATATTGATACATGTGTTACACTGCTGTTATCATCACCATCATATATGCAAGGTTTAAACTTTGTTGTGCATGTAAATATTTTCTTCCAAAAAAAACCAGATAATGTAGGGAAAAAGTTGACAGGAGATCATGTTGGAAAAACAAGCAGAGTAGAGGACTGATCAAAATAAGGGAAAGTGAAGGAGAGCAAAACTAAATGGGGAGGAGTAAGAGATTGGGTTGTGAATGCTTGTTGAAGGTTGACAGTGAGAGTGCTGCCCACTGTTTGGTCTGTTGTGCTCCTTTTGGTTTCCAGTTTTTACTTTGCTGTCATCATCTGGACAAACTCTGTGGGGGGAAATAAAATGAATGAGATCAACGTGCCAATCTTCACAAACTGATTTCATAATTATACTGCAGGCTTGGCATTTATTCAGACAAAAATCCACTTACATATAAAAATACCACAATGCACCAATGACATTAATATAGGGAAATACCTTCATAGTTGACCTGGCCGTCACCATCAATATCTGCCTCCCGGATCATCTCATCCACTTCCTCATCTGTAAGCTTCTCCCCCAGATTTGTCATGACATGACGCAACTCTGCTGCACTGATATAGCCGTTTCCATCCTGTAAAGCATTAGTCATTGAAAGAGATAAACATTCTTTCCACATTTGTTTTTTCCAAAGAAATGCCTTCAATAAGAGGCATTTATAAGCGAGTACACTTCACTACCTTATCGAAAACTCTGAATGCTTCTCTGATCTCCTCCTCGCTATCCGTGTCCTTCATCTTCCTGGCCATCATTGTAAGGAACTCTGGGAAATCAATCGTTCCATTGCCTGAAGGGCAGAAAAAGCCAACAGATTTAGAAAAAGAGAAGAGCTATTGTAACACGGCATTATTTGTGGAAGGGCTTCCTCACCATCAGCATCAACTTCATTGATCATATCCTGAAGCTCTGCCTCTGTAGGATTCTGGCCCAAAGACCGCATGACAGTCCCTAACTCTTTAGTAGTGATGGTGCCATCACCGTCTTTGTCAAATAAGGAGAAGGCCTCCTTGAATTCTGAAAAGCAATTGAAATTATTTATTGCACACCATTGAAATTGCTGATTTGAGGTTTGAAGCAAAGGTTAATCTTCCATACCAGCAATCTGCTCCTCTGTTAGCTGATCAGCCTATATGAAGGACACAAGAAAATTATTTTAATAGCACTGAGATATTTTCAAACGTTTCCATTCCGTCTGAACTTGCTTAACTGTATTTATTGCGTGTTAAATTGAACGGAACATGTTTAACACCTGATACCTTGTGTTTTACAAGTTTGTTGTCATTCATGAGGCGTTCTGAATTAACGTTAGACAAATACAAAACGCGTTCACAGCAGACAATACAGCTGTATTTGACCACATTAACAGGTGTATTGTTTTTATTGGTCTATAATGTGGTTTACAGTTACTTAAAGGCCATCTGAATAGATTAGTGCGCATGCTGTGGGGAACTACAAGCATGTTGTGACCGATCAGATATATTAGAAAAAGCAGGGCTATTTTGGAACAAGGGACGCTACGGGTTTGTCTAATGTAAATGAGGGCGATCTCTACATCTGCCTGCTGACGCCGACATGAGGCGAGCTAGCAACAGGGAACCAGTCAAGGATGTGCTTGTATAGCGCATTTTCTGCTGTAAACATCTCACGCCCATTTGCGATTAGAGAAAGCGCTGCAAAACGTCACACAGAAAGCTTAAAGTTTATTCCACAGTGAGAAAAATGAAAACTGTGTAGCCCACTGAAGTGACGTTAGCCCGGGAGCTCGCGCGCTTTCAATAGAATGACGGTTAGCTCGCGAGGAGCTAAGCTAACAGTAACGTTAGCCCATTCTCACCTATCGCCTCGCCATGGAGGCTCAGCCATTTTTGTAGCTACGCTGCACTTTGGCTATTAGGATAAAGAGTTATAACGGCTTACTTACCATTGTACTTTAGTGTGAACTACGTTAGTTTGCACGTAGAGGAAATAAAAGGAATCCCAAGCGTTTGCTTTCCACCCGTGCGATTGTCAAGCACTATCTTCTGCTGCTGTGCGCCCAAATTTCGATATCACTACGCCTTAATACTTCGGTCCAAAGTGGGACGTCGCACTCCTTGACAACAAAGCGGTTACTATGGTCCTCCTCCGCCAC